GGAGCAAGGTTCGTTCAAACTGCTATAACGCCGTCAATTTTGCTCGGATTGATCTCAAAATTTAACACAATATTTCTGAGGTAAGGTAAAGTACCCTCTATTCAGACACATAATTTTAGGTAATCCACTATTTCTAAATTCACAAAGAAATTAGCTGTTTTTACGAAAAAGACGGTTGACATGTAGATAATAAAGTAATTTTTCTGTCACTTAAAAAAAAAAAAGTTCTTTGCGACCGTGTGATCATTGTTTAAAATAATTATAAAGATTCAGTCTCAAAACCTCTATATTCGGACAATGCATTTCTAAATAGTCCGAATATAGGTCCCGTTACGACGTAGGGACCATAATCCGGACAGTCGTGAACATTGTGAAAATGAGGTTATGGCAGATCTTTATATACAGTTATATTTTACTTTAATGGCTTTAATTTGTTAAACAAATGCAAAAAACAAATTATTATTGTATTTTACTACATAGTATAACCATTTCTTTGCACTTGTAAGCAAGTGAATTGCTGGATTATGTGTGTCCGAATATGGGGTACAGTTTGAACCGTAGTATCTAATTTCCGGACAGCAGCCAAACACAAAAAACCTCGATTTGCAAGAAAAAACATTTCTTTTAATGAATTATCAAATTAATTCGACGTATGTTGTAACTATCCTAAATCAATTCGATACTGTAGATTACAAATAATTTTTTTCATTCAGAAATTGTAAAAAAATTATGTAATTATCGCTGCTGTCCGGATATAGGTCCGAACAACACTTTTGTCCGAATACAGGGTACTTTACCTTATTATGGATTCAAAATATCAAATAAAAAAAATTGAAATTTTTCAAACTTTACCCCCACCCCCCTTCATCATTTTCTGAGTTATCTATATTATCTATCTAAGATCAAGTCAAATACAGCTAAAGGCGACTTTGTGTTATATTTAAAAGACATTTTGTATACACTTCATGTCGATAAAACAGTGCGGTACCATCTTCTAAACGTATCTGTATCAGTACTGCTACCTTTCAACTCTCCAATAGCACAGTCGGTATTGTACTTGATTATTATTCTGGAGACTGAAGTTCAGATCCGAATGAGAGCAAGAATATTTTTATTTTAAAACTTGTTTCTATAAATATCCAAATAAAATAAAAATAATTTTAAATCTCATTTTGAAATGCGCGATCTTTTAAAATTAAAAAAAAAAATACACTCCAAAGCATACGCTTAATCCGTCTACGACTCCGAGCACTGCCCGAGCCCCCTAGCTCTTCTACCACTGCTTTTTATAGAGAAATAGTGAAGTGGGGTAAGAGTAAAGAGTGGTGGTGAGAAGTGATGCTGCTCTACAAGCATAGGCGACGGAGAGGGAGTGTGTCTGTACCCACGTGGGGTCTGGCTTGTGACTGTACCAGCTCCCGACAGCTAGCCCTATGCTCGATAGTTTCAATGGAATACTAGCAGTGCGTGTTTTAAACAAGCACGGGGGTCATTCCGGTAGTGCAGGTGAGCACAAGGGCACTACTCTGGCAGTCAATGGGCGCTACGGGCACAGCCAGCTACGCGGATACGGGCACTAATCCGGCAGTCAGGAGCATAAGAGCGAGGCTAGCACCCACGCAGATACGGCAGCCATGCTCGTACCCAATCGGAAATCTAACTAGGACACTCCACTAGTTAGTTAGGTCCTAGATGGGCTGCCGAGGTAGGACCTACCTGTACATTTTAACGGGGCTCTAGCAAGGCGTTACCTAGACCCAAGGTTGCTATATTCTACCTAACTTACCCTGGCGTTTTGAAAACTGACATGTGAACGTGAGTGTGTATTCTGCATATTTCGGAGCACTCTCTCTCTCTCTATCTCTCTGTGTGTGTGTGTGTGTGTATGTGTGTCTAAAAATTTAACCTTTTGAATGTAAAGAATTTCAATGCTGACCTCCTGGACCATTGGCTTAAATCATCAAACGAATGATGACAGAAAACTTATAAAAACATTTACTGTGCAAATATCCCGAAAGAGAGATGTACTTTATTGTATATTATACATACAATATTTCATGCATACAATAAAGATGAATAGTATTTCAAATTACAGCAGCAGGTTTAGCAGAGAAAAGATTAACAACGAAAACATTGATTAATTTTAGAATTTGTATTTTATTATGTGAACGCCTATTATTTATTAAATAAAAAATATTCAAATACATTTAAATTTTGGAGGGAAGCCAGAGGAAGGTGGCCCCGTACCTGTATGGGTGGGGTGGGCTCAGAGCGAGGTCAGGGGGTGGCCTAGTATGGGTTGGGTAGCCCAGAACCCGCTCTGTTTAACAACCTATGTCCCTTCAAGTATCAATTTTGAGATTCAGCGACTTTTTTACTACTCTATGATTGATGGACACAGCTCTGTGGCTGTCACGTTTTACCTCCATACATCTATGGTCCTCATTCGCCCACACGATGTTTCACATGGGGACGTTAAATTATGATATACGACACGCTACGTACAGCACATAGCATAAACGACGTTGGTCAGAGCTGCTTTAGAGCTGAGAAACTCCACCCCTAACAGAATAGTTTATGCAGAATCGAAAATACGACCCCTCCCCCAAGGATAAAAAAAATTAGCCAACAACTACATAGCTAAATGTCTCTCATTCACTAGCCACCTCACAATCTCTGCATTTCTTCCCTTCTCCACATTGCAACAGACTCTAACTGCTCTAATTACCTCAACCACCCTCTGATTAAAGCCTTCACTAAACTCTCTCCCCACCAGCACAATATTTACTTTAACTCAACTTCACCATGCAACTTCTTTCCAATAAACTGTCAACAATTTATTCCTCAAATCACCACATCAATAGGCCCAATCATTAATAAAGCTACAGATCCTAACATTAAATTTCTCCAACAATTCAACTCCATCATTTCCACCCACACCCCTTTTTACACCGATGGCTCTAGAACAAACAACACATCTAACACTGTACTCGCATTCTACAGCCCCGCACCTCTCAACTTCTCATTCAAAAAGGCTACCTACCTCCTCCCGCCTCCATATTTACAACCGAAGCACTTAACATCTACCTCACCCTCTTATTCATTAGCACTAATAACAAAAATAGCGCCGTAATCTTCACACACTCCCTGAGCAGCCTTGAAACTATAACAGACCCATCTCCCCTGTTCACATCACCTCATGCTACCATACACCGGATCAAAAAAATCCTTCAAGAATTAAACTCTTTTAACAAATCGATCATCTTTGCCTGTATACCTAGTCACAAAAGCATACCAGGCAATGAAAAAGCTGACCTTCTGGCAAAAGAAGCAACTTCAAATGGACTATCCCTTACTTATCCCCTATCATGTACAGACTTCCGAGCCCTTCTCAATGCAGAAATCTCATCCGAATCTAACCTCCTCATCACCAACTACAACTCTGGTAAAGGGATCTTTTACTTTACCAACACTGCTTCAAGACTTTATCCAAACCCTGGTTTCACTCCCTTCCTCTCTTAAGAGACCAAGTTACCACTTTCAGTAATCAGATCCAACCACTACAACCTTTCCTACAGCCTCCATGGTAAAAACCTCACCGCAGACCCCAACTGTGAATGTGACGAAGATATCGAAGATCTCAACCATATTTTCTAGTCCTGCAAGCGCTATAACTCCTTAAGAACTTTTCTAATAAAAGCTCTATATAAACTGCGTCTACACACACCATTCTCAATCAATCCATTCCTCTCAGCATCATCAACCAAACTCATCGGAATTATCCACAACTTCCTACGCAAGTGCAGCATCTCTATAAAATGTCCCCTCTTCATTCCTCCAACCTTCCCGAACAGAAACTGTAAGTAGGCGATCAGTAGAGCCTACTTAGGCCTTAGGCTGCCTCTCTTGCCAACTGAGGTTCTACGTTGGCAGTATCAGGTGGCGTTTGGTAGGCTCTAAGTAGGCTGCCCCCATTGACGTAACATAACCACCTTTCAATCGATAAGTATAGATACGTAAATAAGTTAATTCTGAGGAACTATTAAATAATAACCAAGAAATGAATACAAATTAAGTGCTCACACTGCCGTTTACTTTTCTTTCATACAAAAACATATTGACTCAATTAAATGACAGATGAACTTAATTTGACGGCGGACATGTAAATGACAGTGTACAAGCTGTTGAATGTTATATTTCATAATCTTAGTACGGTTTTTTAGTACTTTGAGAAACTTTGTTTAGTTGACAACGAATTTAATGTCGATTGATTTTGTCAGTCTAATATGTATAAGAATACTTATTATTTAAATAGGACTCGATAGAAAACATTCGTAATTTGTGTACTTAAGTATAATTTTACGCTGCAATTTATTATCTATATTTACACTGCAACTGTGGCTGATACAACTCTATATACAATTCGAGAGGTAAGATAACGGTAGGTTATATAGGCTGCCTAATGAGTACCTCACGCGCGCTCCCTGACGCGCCTGCGTGTGCCCTCACGCCCTCAGTAGGCTGCCTAAGTATAGCCTTACGAACTAGAGAGGCAACCGACTTTCATTTCTGTTCGGGTTCCTTACTAATTCTCTATTCGACCCATCAAATTCCTATACCAACCCCACACTTAAACTTATTCTTCTCTAAACTCATCTCAAGGCTATCTACACTATCCTCATTATGCAGTACACTCATAGTTAATCTTTCGAATTTCGCGTCCAAGGAATCCGACCATATTTAGCTATGCGCTGCAGGCGGACCCCAAAAGTTTATAGGTAATGGCCGTTCGGACTACGCTGCTACCAAGCAGCCAAACTGGTGAGTTCGGTTTACACCACCGTCTGCGACGGACGTCATTCAGCATTCAGCATATGGGATCTACTAAGGGCACGTTTGCATTTTTGTAAGTGCATTGTTCCTTTAGATTACAGCTCCACTTGATCATACATTTTTATTCACCCTCTCTCACCAACCTAACAAACCTTTTAAATTATTTCCTATTCCGTATTTTCTCTTAGGGTGAGATCACATGGAGTCAGACAGTCTGCAGATTGGCAGACTCCATGTAATCTCACTCTTATCCAACCCCTTCTCCCCAATCCTTTTCCCAATTTCGTAACCAACACCCGCCCTACGGTCTCTGCCATCGCCGCGGCCGCCGCTATGATTGGCGAACTGCCGTCGGCTAATGCTGACAAGGTCGGTTTTCTTCTCCTAGTCATGGTCAAATCTAGATCTAAAAAGAACAAAAACAAGCGCTCAACGAACTTTTTAGCCCCCTCTAAAAAACTGCAAGTAGGCTCCAAACCCTCACACTCAGACAACCAATACGACATGGAGAGAGAAGACGCTTACATAGATGGATACGACTCTGAATCCTCCTCTGCTTCCTCTCATGCCTCCCTTACCTTTAATAACAAGCATGCTCCTTCCACCGACACAAAAAACAAAATTCTGCTCAAGTCTCTCTATTAAGAATCCTTTGGCACTCTTACCGCCAAAACCACCACAGCTTTAACCCCCCAATTCACCCGCACAAGCTCCAACTTTCTCTCTCAACGCCCAACAAAATGTTCCACCAACCACCCCTCCATCCTTTGATTTTAATAAAGCTGCACAACTCTTTTCAGAAAACAGAACCTCTCCTTCCCCCAATCATATGCCTCCTCATATCCCCCCGGTCAGCCAACCATCTAACAAACTCATTAAATTTGCCGACGATATAGCCATTTTTGTCTCATCCGATGACCCCAAGTTCTGTGTAGACACTATTGAATCCAACCTCCCCAGAGCCAGCAGATACCTTAACAAACAAGGCCTCTCTATCTCTCTCCCTAAATCCTACTTAGTCGTCTACACTGAAAATGCAATAGATCCCACACAATTCTCCATAAACTTTGAAAACTCCTCCATCCAAGCATTCAACTCTGCTGAATTCCTCGGGGTTCATCTAGACAGCAAACTCTCCTGGTCCAAACACCTTAACTACTTAACACTAAAATGCTCCACTACCAACCTCATTCACAACCTACGAACAACCTGGTGGGGCGCCCATCTATCAACACTTCTCAACATTTACAATGCCCTTTTGCAAGGCTCAATCGACTATGTCCTACCATGCATCTTCCCCCCTAACAGCTCCTTCATGCATAAATTAGGCGTTATCCAAAGACAAGCTGTTAGAGCTGCCCTTGTTCTATGCAATTCCACACCAAACATAGCTGTCTACGCTGAATCCAAAATCCCCTCTTTACCCTTACTTTATTTACCCTTTACCTGAGTTTTATTTTGTTTTTTAGCGCATCTTTTTGTTTGGCACTCAAAAGTATTATTTAGCCTAGTACTCGTACTTAAAACGAAGATAATAAATTCGTTCTCATAATAAAATCAAACTAAGTAATATTCACATTTGACTATACTCTAGGTAATTATGTCAGTGAAAAAACTTTATAATACTAAGTTGTAACTGAATAAACATTTCATTAGGTAAAGTCTATCACGGAAAACACGATTCTGATATTACTTTCACTTCAAAATCTTTAAATTTTTTAATATTAACGAAATAAAGTGGAAATTTTCACCCTTAAGTGGCGCTGTCGGCGGTAGTTACCTAGCGTATACTTAGTACTCAGTGCAAACCTAATATCAAACATTATATTAATATCGTGTTGCGATACAAGTATATTAAAATGTTAGAGCATTATTTTAATTTATTGAATTTTAATTAGGTCTTACGCAATACCAGTAAAAAGTCAAATACCCTGCGACGAAGTTGCAGAGTCGAGCACGTGCACGCAGAGGCATGGCGGTGGTAAATCCTCAAGTTTTATGTGCGCGTGTCTGTGAGTGTGCTCGACAACGATCGGGCAATGCCTCTTAGGCCATGGGTCGTGCGCGCGCGCTCGGTGAGCGGCGCTGACGTGACTCGGGCATGAGAGGTGTGGCTTATTGATTGGTAGCGGGTAGACGGTTCGTGACGGCGTCTCCACTCTTGAGGGAGTGGAACGGTTTGAAACAGGAGGAACAGACCGGTGGAGGCGCCGGTGTGATTTTCCGGTCAAAACTTTATGCCAACAAAGATTAACCGACGACTATATAAATAAAAGAGAGCGCTGTTGCATAAATAGCCAATCAGCAATCATTGATCGACAGTAGGCGATCGATCAAGGATTGTTGGTAGGGATTTTCCGAGGTATCAAGCAAGGAGAAGTAGCTGAAAAGGGCAGTTCGATTTTTCGCTATCTCCCGTTTCGTTGGCTACTTGTGGCTAAACTCGAGAGATTCGGAAAACAGCACCAAAGCTTACTGTGTGGCTCGCGATATTGTCGGGGTTTTTTTTTCCTCTAAAGGTCTTGTGACCGGAGAGGAAGCTTGAGGATTTTGGCTGGCTGGGTGCGATCGGGTGGCTGCGTGAGTTGGCGAGAGGAGAGAAGCCGGAGCCGATATCCAGGACCAGGAGTCCCTTGATATGGAAGGTCAAGAGTAAGCTAGTGAGTATGTTTTGGCTGTTTTTTTCATGAATAGTGGTTGTATTGGATGCGCAAGGGGCGTGACACCGTGAGGAAGACACCACGAGTCCCTTACGCATATGGTTCGCGGCTGTGGGGGGACGAAAGACTGGTGGCTATACGCGACACGTGGTTAGGGAAAACTTGGGTCGCGAGGTGCACTTCGTGCCCTCCTCAAGTATATCGGGTAGTGACTCCAGGTCGCGAGTAGTGGCTTCGTGGGGAAATAATAGTGGCTCTTTGGGGGCATCGTTAGTGGCTCGTTGGCGGGAATCTAGTGGCTCGTCCAGTGTTAGCTACTTGATCAGCGAATAAGTTTTTTTTGTTCAATAACTGCTGTGCGGGGCACTTTGGGTTGCGGCGTCGGGGTACGACGGTCGCATCAAAGAGGCCGAAGCGGCACAGCAGTACATGTGGCATTGTACTCGGGCTAGTGGTGTGCGTGTGCTAAACTGGCCGGTACAGCGTTACAACCCTTAGTTTAATTTTGTTAAAGTACGAGTAATAGACATAATAATACTACGAGTACCATACAAAAAGTGAAAAACAAAACAAAACTTGACTGTTTATATATTTTGATTTGCATGACTAAATAGCGATGCATTGACAGTATATAGATAAGGTTTCTAAAATTTCTTTGAAAATATTAAATTCAAGACTTCCAACTTATCCAACCTTTTAGTTTTAGTAAACGGTAATTTTTATGGGGTTGAAATGGAGAAACGATAAAATTACTCGAAATTTCAAACATGTATTCCTTTAACTATTCCTGATATACTGTTAAAATTTCAGAATTTTCATCGGTGCCCAAACGAAAATATAAGGCTTCAAAGTTGCACTACTTAACGCGGCGAGCATACGCAAAATGTGTAAAAAAGAACATTTGATTTGATTCGATAATAGTCATACAATACATTTTTTTCAAAAACTGATATTTTATTTCATTTGGCTATATAACTTTTTTTAAATGAGAAAAATTGTGCTGTTTAAAAGATATGTTAATTTCAATATATTTTTCCATGTTTTCAGAATATCTATGAACAGAAATTTATTATTTCAAGTTTCAAAATTAAATTTTCAGATTTATTATAGTTTCGTGCTTTCGTTGTAGTTGTATTTACAGGTAATGTTTCTAATATTATTATTAAACAAATTTTTAGTACAAAAATATTATTAAATCGTTTTTATCATAAAATCAATTAATATCGGTGACTTTTGGGTCAACAACTACCTTTAGCGGAAGGTCAATGAAAAAATTACAATAATTAAAATTTCAGATAAATGTAGATTGGAATGATTGTTAGGCAGTATGTCAATTGAAGAAAAAAGAAATAAAAAAGGTTGCTGTTTGAAAGAAAACTATTTTTTTTCAAAATATCAATTGAAGCAAACTGTCATAATTTTAGACACATTGTTGTGGGTTACGTAAATTAACATGAATTAGGCAATAAACCAGACAGGCGATGTACAAACGTCTCTTTCTCGTAAATTAAATGATTGCTCTGGCCTGGGGACATGATTTACTAGTAACAAAAATTACTATTTCATGCTCGTAAAAAAATTCGTTATATTATAAAATTAATTTTTTTTTAATGTATTTTTCACTAAGCTACCTTATACATGACAGATAAATATTTTCTAACATAAAAGACCAATAATTTGTTTCTGAAAATGACAAAATAAATATCAAACTACAGATCCCGCTAAATTTTATGCAGGCAATACTCACTTATTAAACTTGTAGTAATTTTTTTTTCCTTTGTATTTGGTGTCCATGTTTGACATCTGGTTCTTGCTGGACAAGACTGAGACATTACTGAATTTTGCAAACTTGGACAAATACCTAATCTGTAAAACGTCAAGGAACTTTTATTATTTTAAGGACTTACATGTATACAGTGTCATAACGACTTATAAAAAAAGAAATAAATAAATGATATTCAATTTGCTCATCAAATTTGCAATTCTACGTAGCACAGTAAACAGAAATCTTTATAGAGAAATGATAACACATATAAACATAAAAAGAAAAGAGCAAAATAAATTTGCATTACTTATAGACATATATATTTTATCTAATAATAAAAAATTGCATTCTTATTAGGATAAACAAACTGATCCATACTCTTTCATTTTTTTTCTAGCAAGTGTCCGTTGGGTGGCAAAAGAGTAAGTATGAGCCGAGCTTGGCCTATATAAGCGAGCCTTTTTAATTTCTCGATCATGAGCTATAATTTTCATTCGTTTAGCAGAACTTTGTGAAAATAAGTCTACTATGCTCAGAGAAGCAGCATCACACTAACAGATAGAATATTACTGTATACTTTTTGATGTGTAGTTTTGTGAAAAAAAGTCATTGATAAACATGTCTACTACCTGCAGTTGGAGTCTTTGATGAAAATTTAATTCTGCTAACTTAAGCGGCGCATCAATATGAAGTTTTAACATACAGTGCAGAGCTTCTCTATAAGTATTTTTTAAAGCTATGACTTTCTCACTTTTCATTAGCCTTCTAACTAAAAATCCTCTTGCGTATGCGTTTATTATACTGGCAGCTTTCATCTAGAGTTTTGGTAAGATTATTGTACATTTTAAAAAATACACAAAAATAATAAAAGTACTTACATGATTTTCTGTGTATAAAGTACTATCTGACACAAAAGAATAATTATTTTTGCCATCAGAAGGAAGGAGTTGTCTATTAACACTACAACTTCTGTGCGCTGATGTTCCTACTGGAATGTCATCTATTGCTTTTAAATTTGACAAACCTGAATGCCTACTAAAAATTGTAAGTTTTTCATCAAATACTTGAGAAGGTTGACAAGAAATTGGATTATATGAAGAAATACTAGGCACAGCTGGCTGATTAGTAGAACTGCATGCTTGTGGTGCTATTTCTTTCGAAGAGTTGTAACATTGGACTGATTTAAAGTGTATTTCGTCACTATGATAATTAGTTCCATTTTGCTCAGGTTTACCATTGTCTTGTTCGTTTTGTATCCCATGAGCCTTAGTCTTTACTACTTTGAAATTTTCAGGCACAAGTTCTGTACCCTTACTTGATATAGCTTCTGTTAGTGCTGAAATTGAAATTTCAGGAAATGCTTTTCTGATTTGGGCTAGCAACAATATTTGCTGCTTCTTAAAATTTTCCTGCATTCGAGTTTGTTCTTTAAGCTGGCGTGCCATCAGTTCTAATATTTGTTTTTTGTGAGTTTCTTGAATTTCTTTAAATACTTTAACTATTTTTTCAGATGTTACGATGGGCTTTTGCTTTTTTGTGATACAATTCTGTGCAGTATTTTTCCTACAGTTTTTATTAGTAATTGTATTTAGATTCAAATCATTGTCACTTGTTTTAACTGATTTTTGTATAGCACTGTTCGAACTGCTAAATGGTTCAGACAGTTTACCTGTAAAACGATGAATGGAAATGTTTTTATCAAATGTTCTACAACTGTTATTATGCATACCTCTTACAGTGTAAGCTGATGAATACTTTCGCAAGCTAATTCTACCACCAGCAGCTTTCGAAGAGTAACATTCTTCAGCAAAAATGGTTTGAATACAATCCACAGACTTTGTCTGATACATATCTATTGGAGATCCGGTTTGAGAATTTGACACTGATTTGCAAGCTCTTTGACAAAGAATATTAGGAAAGTTATTTCTTTGGAACTTGGCTGATAAGTTAAATTGAGGTGAGTTTTTCATATTTACTGAAGCTTTCAAATCATCTTTGATTTGGCTGGTATTCCATTCTTTACACACAACTGCCTGGACAGGGACAGTGCACTTATTATCAGTACTTGGTATTTCATTTTGAATAAAAGCCAGATGAACTGGACTGGTTTGGTGTACAATATAAGAACCCCTTTGCAATAACTTTGGAGATTCATCACTTATAGATAACTTACCATATGACTTAGATTGATCTAATATTATTGGCACAATATCCAAAGATTTAGGCACTTGTGGTTTCCACTTTTCCAGGGTACTTTCTGGACTATACTTTTGAATTGGAACAGATAGATCAAGATGATACGAATTGTTACTAGTCCTTTTGGTATCTGAAAAACTGCTACTTTCATTGAGTGTTTTGTGCATCAAACTATTACTTTTGTTTGATGTACAATTATCATAATGCTCTACTTGCGATTGTTTCAATGTAAAATTATTCTTTTTGTCAGTTAACTCACACGTCTGATCAGTATTAGTAATAAAACTTTTTATTGTTTTCATATTTAAGTCACAGTTGAAATTAATTAAGCATGCTGATTCATCCCTTTTAATAGCGGGAACTAATGTTCTACCAAATGTGACTGTTGTTTGGTCACAACTTCTACATTTATCATTTATTAAGTTAGTTGGAATGTAATGATTGTTTGACAAACTATTACATTTCTCTGATACAACTTTTTTCCTACTTTCTAATACCTTTAATCTCTCTTGAACCGCTACAGCAAGCTGTTTGTAGTACCGAATTTCTGTCACAATATCACTTGTGATCTGAAAAAAAGAACATTGAAACGTTATGTTCAAAATACATTTATAATTTTTAATACCTATATATATATTTCACTTACAAGAGGTGGAAGTACTGGTATATCATTTAGGACTTTAGATGACGAAAATTCATATTCCATGTTTGTATCTTGAATAACAATGTAGGGAAAAAACTCATTAACACTTCATGAGTTAGAATTTGGGAAAAAAAATTCAAATCAAATGTTAACTATGGAAACGCAATTCTGTAGATACAACCAAGTCATTTAAGTTAGATGAAAAAATTACTTACTGTGTTTTTCTCGTTAATTGTATGAGTATTAATGAATATATCTATGATGGTAAGTTGTACAATGCAATTTAAGAGTTGAGAAGTATTTATTATTCAATTTCGATTCCGAACGTATCACTTCTATTTTAAAATGGTATGTTGTGATCATAGAGATAATATAATAGAGGAAGCGAACTGTATATTCTTCCGTAAGTAGAAGCGTACGGTCAGGTCGGTCAGTAGACGGAGGAAGACGACTGATTTGGTCTTGCATCTCTCTCTGCTCTCTACATTGATTGGCTGCTGCTTGACAGTATATATAGTGGTAGTATATAGTAGTGTTCGCTTCCTCCATTATATTGTCTCTATGGTTGTGTTGTGAGCATTGTGAACCTCGCACCCAATGATTAAAAAATGTACTAACGTTTTGACAAATCGATTGCGCGTAAAAAAAATCAACAAAATTAGACCCGAATGGTCAACGCGCAAACGAAATTGTTAAAATAATGGATAAAAAACAGTTCGGGTGCCGTTGTATTAGAAACACGCGTCAAACAACGTCAAATGATGATTTTTTCCTGACCACATACACTTAAATTGATAGATTTTTTTACGCGCAATCAGCACCCGATGGTCTTTTTTACGCACAATCGTTTTTTGGCGTGCAATCATAAAAAAACCGATACACCCCGCGGACCACTTCGAACCTTACCTAACCCAACCTCGAATCAAAACAAATGTATTCGTACGGGTCTGCTTCTGCTTCGTGCTACAGTATATACTTCCACAATCAAGTGTAAAAGTGAAATTTAGTGTCAAGAAGCATATATTTGCAATGTTTAATTGACAAGCGTGTGCCTTTACAAGTGTTTTAGCTCGTGTACAGTTGATATAATGGAACTAGCCATGAACTATGCCAGCACAGTCTTGATCAAAACATTCCTGCAGAGTTTTGTTTAAACATCTTTGGAACAATAGAGTATTTAAAGGCATCCTAATGAGGTTTTTACTCAAGTCTCGTCATGGAATCTTGACACGCAGTGAGTGTAAAGCTGATATATAACATCAAACAAGTGAAATTTTTTTGTGTAATTTGTTTCATTTATCGTAGGCCATCATCTGATCACACATCAAGGTTGCAAGGCTACACTTTGTAACGGTAAGGGTCATGTAATTTATTGGTTTTTGTGCATTTTCTTTGTCTGAAAGTCTTGACTCCTTATTCTATTTCACTTCTCAAGAGAGTCTGGTGTATAAAGCATCATGGTTGATGTAATATCTTGCTCCTTTTGCATGTCATCGTTGGCTGTAGTAATAAGCCTACTGTGTCATCAGAACTGAAGCCACTACATCTAGTAAGTAATTCATCCTTACACTAACTCTTACTACTTTTTCCATTGGCTTGTTTGATTATATTTGATTAAATTTTTTTTTTCTGACAATGAAATACTTTACCTTGGCATGTTAATCATGTTTTTCACAGCTTCGGTGACTTCTTCACTCAAACAAGGATTTTAGTACATATATGTGTCATATTGAGTATGAACGTCTCATCAGAACCCATTGTAAGTATACGAATAATTTACTAATAATACAACTAAGACAGCTAAGTTCTGAAAAATTCAATGATTAAGAAATCTCAGCTTTATAACGTTTTTTTTTTTTTTNTTTTTTTTTTTTTTTTTTTTTTTTTTTTTTTTTTTTTTTTCTTTTTTAAGCTCATGCGTCAAGTGATTTTTGCCCCTTTTCGACAGAGTCATGTTAAGAACAGAAGCTTGCGCTGAAACTGGAGGTGGTATATAAAATAAGTTATTTTTGATAAATAATTTCAAATTTTTAATGACAAAAATCGTGTTAGACAGGCTTTGGTCTCTTGTGTATACTGGCATTGCCTGTTAATTATAAAATGCCATCGAAGCCATCAGTTGACCTAGACCAGATGCTGCAAGTTTTATCTCAACTACTAATTTTTGAAAACGATGGTGTTCTTAAAAATGAGAGAGATCCAGTTTGGTCTGAAGCATTAATTGTTTTAGTAATATAAAAAAAAAATACAAAAGCATAATTTATACATGTATGTATTTAACAATCGTCACGAGTTGCAATCGAAGCTTCGGAGAATTCATGGAATTGACGATAAATCTGATTTAAATGACCTGGAAGAAAAAGAAAACCAATTTCCAATAAGGTCAGGACAAGAAGAACATCACCCTTTTGCAATGTTCGATAAACTAAATTCACTTAAATTAAGCGTATCTTTGAGTACCTCCATTACTCATTTATGCTTTGAGCCTTTTCAGTTAATATATAGACTGTTCGAACAAATTAATTTGTGGAACAATTTTTGTAATAAAAATTTCTCTAGAACTGATTTGATTCAGAATGTTACTGTAAGAAATTCTACCAGTCAAAAAATCAATTTATACGCTTTTACGATTGAGGTTTATAAGTAATCTTGTTCCTGTTTATCAACTGATTCGAGAAGAAAGAGAAGAACATTTTTTTTTTCAAACATTTTTGTAGGGAATTTTTACGAGATAAATGTAAAATTCCATCTGAAATAGTTTCACCCTATTCATTTTTTTTACTAAATACTTTTTCTAAATCATTTAATGAATTGTCTATGTAGGCATACAGTGAAACGTGTTGTCGATTTTTGATAAATGGCACGAAACAATTTCCCCCTACACTAATAAAAGTAGACATACATAATTTATTGAACTATATGAGAACTTGGATATGTCTGGAGAATGTTTATACGAAAAAGTTCTTTTCCTGTTGCATTTTATATTTAAGTTCACTTGAAAATTTTAGTGTATTCAAAGAAACAACATTAGATTTGTTTACTGTAACCAACAATAAATATGATTGCAAAAGAACAGAAGCATCAAGATTAAAGTTACAGAAAAAAGTAAATAGTGCTTGGATCATACACACTTACGATGCATTTTTGAAGTATATAGAGTCAGATATAAGTGGTGCCTTATATTCTTGTTTTGATGTACATAAAGAAGAATCTTGTACCATGAATGGACATGAAATATCTACATTTATTGATGATTTACAAAATAAAGCACGCGAAAATCCCTTGTCAGAGCAAAACAAACGCAAATATAATTGTTATTTTTCTACCCAAATTGCTGAGAAAATAAAGGAATTATTATATAATTTCCCAGTGTGGACAAAACTTCTTGAACAAGATTCAAATAGAAAATCCTCTTATGAAATTGGTGTAAATCACTTAACATGCTTAAGAGAATCCTTGACAAGTACAACAAGCGTACCAGATTTTATAATAGAACATCATAAAATCACAAAAATCCTTTGCTATGAAGGTAATAATTTTATAAGGAATTGTACAAACTATTATCAAAATGTGAAGCAAAATATCAATACCGATTATCTTTCATATGAAGAAAATTGGAAAGGAAGAAATACTCTTACAATAAAAGAAATCAGCGCTAGTTATAATTGCACATCAGAAGAAGAACCAATTACCGAAATATTAGAACATTGCGAAAAAGAATATGTTGACGTAGTTGCAGACACAATAGCCGTAGCTCAAAGTACTTCGTTAATTAATAGTTCTAGTGGTTTTTCAGATTGTCAGAGATTGGTGTCAACTCAGACCAATGCAGTGCAGTTTGCTCAAAAATCATCGACACCAGTTTTACATAAAAATACGCCGGATTTCACCACGATTTCCAAAAGCATGAATAACAAAACTATAAATTCAAATTTAGATATTAACTCTCCCGTTGATCAATCTCATATAAGTTTAGAGCATGACTACTGCTTGTCACCTATAATAGAAAACTCCGCATTCATTGGGAGTCCTATAGATAAAAAGATTTCAAATCCTGTTGATTATCAATTGGATGATAAAATTTCATCAAATACTCAAATAAAAATTACATCGAAAGTTATACAATCGGTTGAAAATACTAAAAAAATTGTAAATTCGAGTAAATATTGCAGTCCCTTCCCTAATGCAAATATTTTTTACAAACAAGCCGTCATTCGCAATGGTCGTACATTAGGAGTAAAAAAATTGGGTAATAGTACGTATACATTCAATGACACGTCGCTTTTCATTAACGGAAATTATGATCTTCGGATATAAATATTTCAAGTCTTGTCGAAATGCATGTCAATTATTTGTGGATAAAAAACTTGAGAAAACATTTATTTTTAATGTCATCAAAAAATTTGTAGATGGAAAAGAAAATTATAAAATTCTGTATCAATCACGTTTTCTCATATTATTAGAGTACGGACTAATAACGAATAATGAAATTTCGTGTGATACAAACGTAGCGAATTTTTTAATAAATTTATCACACTCTGTTTATTCTTATAAGCAAACCATAGTTTGTACAACATGTAAAAACCTTACAGAAATCATCGAAGATATAATCGTGTATCCCGAATCATTAGAATGTAGTGTCCATCATTTAAATATTTATTTAAGCAATCGTCTTCAAGATAATTTTTTTTGTCAAAATTGTCAATGCAGCGATAATATTTTAGATATTCAGTTCGGACCTTTTATCTTTGTTCAAGTCGAAAAAAGTAATAATACTTTTTTACACTCTTTGAAAAATGTAATTAACTTTGCTGATAAACATTTGATTTTGATGGGAGTCATGGGTTTGACGAAGCACCCTATGACAAATGATTCACGGTATATTGCTTACTGCAAACCTTTATCAGAAAGTAATTACTGGGTTGAACACGACAATTTAAAAAAACACACGAAGCGACTGACGACCAGCTCACCTGTAAAAATAAAATTGATGGTTTTTGTTGTCAGTGAATAATATTTGAACTTATGATTTGATCGATTACTGGAATTCAATTTATTTTATCAAATTAAAATAAGCTATATACTACTTTATAATAAGGTTTAATCATGGAGATAATTATTATTTTTTTTAAATATATCTTTTTTTACAGCAATTATTTAAAAAAACAACATAAAAAAGTAGTTGATGCTCCGATAATAACTTATTTCCACCGTGACAGTGGCTTTTGGCATTCGCTAGTCAGATAGCGAATTCTCTCACAAAGCCGAAATTTCAAAAAGCAATATGTTGTAAATAATTGTATACTACCTACCACTTTCTAATGTAATCTTTATTGAATTAATTCATAAATAAAACAAAAATTTACACTGATGATTTTATCTTATTTACTATTACTATGTACCTTATAACATACAAAATATTTTACATTAGTTAGGAATGAAAAAATGCGTCCACAATTTTTAGCTTGAATTGCTATTTAACACTGATCTTGATCGTGAGCAGTATTTGTACAAAATATTGCTGATACTTTAAGTTGACGTAAGAAATTAGATAATTTTCGCGCGTCCCTTTGATTTACGTTCCCTCAATCACTCTGCGTGTCGGTAAACTACAAATTACACTAACAAAACCAGGGAATATCAAATATATTTTACATTTTAACGGTCAGTAAGTGTCGCCTGAAGTATCAAAGGGAAAGAAGGAACGCACGTTCAAAAGGAAAAGGGTTGAGAATTGTCATTCTTAAACTAAGTGAACAATCGGATCTTTTTAAATATATAACCTCATCAAATTTTTACACGAAATGCATATGCACGGTTGTAGTTCATTTAAACTGATTTTTAGAGTTCGTAGTAAGCTGAAATCGCATGCCTTGAGCAAGTAAAATAAAAATTTCATAAAAAAAATTTGATATTATCAAATGTTGACTTTGACCAAAAGCCTATGTGTGTCAGTGGCGTTTATACTTAATAATTATTTCAGCGTATTCCTAGGTTATTTTTTACCATCTGTTTGTTTTGTACTTGAAAGTGTATTACTCATCTAAAACAGAAAAATAATCATTGTTCCAGATCACCGGTATTGAGAGAAATATGTGATCTGAGGATTTTTTGTTTCTTTCCTTAGGTTGTATATTGTATACGATTTTTCACTTATTTCAACGCAGAAAGAAGGAATTTTTATACCGCGAGGCGGGACCAAAGTTTCATTTTTCGAGGCAGTAACGTGAAAATCTCTTATGTAATACATTGATGTGTTTTGTGCAATTAGCAGTCTTATGTCCTTCGCCTCAGCACCAATCTTATCAGACTTAACGTAAGTAGTTCGCGTAACGAAAAATACCAATTATAAAGCCTCTAATGCATTGATTTACTTTTTTTTACAAACAATCACGTTAACAATAATTTTTAAGTTATGTTAAAATCATAAATATACATGATTTTTGTTGTGTACTATCAAAATATCTCGAAATATTAAATTTCTATTATTTCCTTGTCGGTGAGATTTCTCCTCGAGGTCCGCGCTCCCTTACACCATAAACTGTTGGACAGGCCTGTTTAAGGGTCATTACAGTTAGCTTTGTTTTGTTTTGTTAAGATCTTTTATGTTGGATTTCGAGTTTACATAGTTCCAATCAATTATTTACAAATGAGTGGAGCTTTTTAACATTATATTGATAGTACAAATTGATACCTACTCCAAGAAATCAATGCTTATCGATTTATAATTATTATTCAAGTAGTTGTAGAGATAATATAGTTATTTCGATTTGTTTTAAGTTATTCTTGTTGTCAGTTTCGTTTAAAAGTTAGGTTTATGAA